GCAGCGCTTGTGGGCAGTGTGCGCCCGCTCCTTTTCTGTCCTTCCCTCTGCGGTCTCCTGCGGAAATATCTTGGTGTCTGAGCGGGGTGACATTGGTGCTCTGTTGTAATAGCGTCTGAATTAATAGGATATGTCTAGACTGCATCAAAGGGGAGAGTCCAGCCCGTGCAGACGCCGCTAAGTCACCTCGAGCCGGCCCGGCCGCTGCTGGCACCGCAGCCAGGGCAGATCCTCAGCCACGTTCGATCCGCTGCTTGCGGTCTGCGCGTTCGGAGGGCTTGCGGAAAGGCCTGGAGCCGGGGAGGGAAGGTGAGAGTTTGGGATGGGACCTTCTGCTCTAATAGATCCTTCCCTCCCCTCAGCCACTTCCATCCTGAAGCGGCAGAAGCAGCTACGCCGGAAGAATGTGCGTTTCGACCAGGTGACCGTGTACTACTTCGCCCGGCGCCAGGGCTTCACCAGCGTGCCCAGCCAGGGCGGCAGCTCCCTGGGCATGGCCCAGCGCCACAACTCCGTCCGCAGGTACACGCTCTGCGAGTTCGCTCAGGAGCAGGAGGTGAATCACCGGGAAATCCTCCGGGAGCACCTCAAGGAAGAGAAGCTCCACGCCAAAAAGATGAAGGTACTGCTGAGGGAGCGCCGGCGGCCCCGGGCGCACTCGGCCGCTTTGCGGGGCGGTGGTGACATGTGGCAGCCGGCAAATGCCCTCCCGAGCTTTGGCAGAGTTTAATCACGGGCCAAGCAGGAGGAGAAAACCCCCTCCCCCCCCCCACCTTCCCTTCCCATCCTCCATCTAAACCTCTCCAGGCTCCTCGGTCGGGGCGGACTGAAATTCCGGTCTGGGAGGAAGCGGCGAGGGAAGATCTCGATCTCGGGTGGTTCTGCCTTTTTTCGGAGCGATCCCCGATTCCGGGCGCGCGGTCTGCGCCCTCGGGCGTTGCCTGGAGACTGGGCTTTGCTTAGCGCGGATGCGCTCGTCTGCAAAGCTAGCCTTTAATCAGGCTCCGGCTGTCATGGCAACCCGCTTGGCAAAGGGACGCAAATCCAGCCTGCTGCCTCTGTATTATTATTTTTTTAACGTAGGCCTTTACAGCAGCTCCTCGCGCTGCTGGCGATGGAGATGGGGGGGGGGCAGAGGGGTGGGTTTCGCGGCGGAGGTTCGGGGGGGGGCCGGGGGAGCCGGGAGAGAGGGCAGAAACGGCGGTCCGTGAAAGCGCTGCCGCCGTCACGAAGCCCCCGTGCTCATTACCGGGCGATTTGACCGGTTGTTTTTCTGAAGCGTTGGTTTTTTGGAGGTTTTTCTGTTTCCTTCCCCTGATGGAGAGCTCTTGGCAGCGCCCCGTAGGTCGCCGCTTTCCCGAAGCGCTCGCTTTTGGCAGTAGGGCCTCGGGTTCCTGTAAAGCGAAAGCGGAGGGCCCGGGGGGCACCGAGGGGAGGAAGGGACGGAGCAGGGAGGGGAAGGTGCCTTCCCGAACCCCGATACGTTTTCCGTGGGAGCTGGATCCAGACCCTCCGTCGCTTTTGCACCTCGTTTAGACGCGGTGGGGGGACGCGAGGCCGCTCTGTAGCTGCGCTGCCTCTGCTCCGCTCCTCTCCCAGGGCCCTGGTATTTTAAGAAGCAGTGACCTCCTTTTATCTTGCCGTTTGCAGGGTGCCGTAACGGAGGGAAGACGGCAGAGGGACTCTCTGCTCCCAGCTCTTTTTTTTTTTTTCCCTCCTCCCCGAGCCTTTTCTCCTGTAAAGCGCTGCGAGCCCGAGTGACGTGTGGCTGGAGGGGACGGCGCGGGCCTTCCCCCCGGCCCCCCCCGCT